AAAGTTATTTAAAACATAAGAGATTTTACATGTACCAATTTAAAAAAGACACCTGGCATTTAATCTATATAAAATCAGGCAAGTTATATTTTACTAATGTATTTATATGTGGTTATTGATATTACTATGTATTTAAATATAATTAAAATCAATCACATCTATTTCTTTAATTATATTTCGGAAGGATCTCGTTTGCCAACAAAGTGATTGCAGCACCGTTTGTCTACATCTCATTTGCCTACATGCTATGCACTTTTGAGCACAAATAAAAAAAAATTTCAAAAATAGAGTTATATTTGCCTACATGTATTACTACTTACAGATCGATTGCTTACAAGCATTATTCTTTGCTTTAAAAATATTCTGTTTTAAAACACAAATTCTTTTCTTTAAAAATATAAATTTTATTTGTGCGCAAAAGAGCATAGCTTATTGTAAACAATAATCTACATAAGCAAATGTGACTTCGTTTCTGAAATTTTTATTCGTGCGCAAAAGTGCTTGTAGGCAATCGAACTGTAGGCAATAATTTTTATGCGCAAACGAAATTTTTGTCGGCAAATGTAATGTATAAAATAAACAATGCTACAAACAATCGATTTGTAGGCAAAAGAAGAAATTTCCTATATTTCGAGCAAATAAATTTTCATCTTAATAAAACTTCTGCAATTAAAAAGTTTAAGCTCTTTTTTACTTGTTTGATCTCGGTGTGACAGCCTATCATAAAATAATCATATCACAATGTTTCTTATTTTAAATTATTACCAATGATTTAATCTAGCTCCTATGTTTTTTTGTTTTACTTTTCAGTCCCGAAACTGATCGTGAAGAACATACAGAAGCTGAAATACGCGAAGAAGCCAGTAATCTACAAATGCACAAGATGCACCAAGAGTTATCAATTGGAAACATCCTTGCGAAGACATCAGAGATTGGAGTGTGGTGTCCATCCCAAGTACAAATGCATAATATGTGGCAAACAATTTACGCATAAATTTGTATTAACTCATCATTTAGCGTCCTGCAAGAAAAAAACAGCTTGGAATGGGATATGGTAAAATTGTAATTAGTGATGACCTCAATCAATTTCAATGAATTCTTGATATAGGATAAACTTGACGAAATCGTACCATTTTTCACATAGAGGCTTACAACTCAGAAATTATAAAGAATATTCGTTTTTTACAGCATAACAAACTACACTCTTTTCGCTTTCTTATGTAATTTTTTCATATTATTTTTTCATATTATTTACAATATTATAAATTAGTTTTAAATTAGGATTTTTTCAGTATAATGCGATTTTGACAACGAGGAAATCCGTTGCCTAAATTGCACCACATACTGATATTTTTTTATTTATTATAAAACATTATAATAATGCAAAAAAATTTTCATTACATAAAAAAAAGAAAATTGTATTTCTTATGCTGTTAAAAATTTAAGAATATATTTTTAATAATTTCTGAAACACGTGATAATTTCAGGAAGTAATTTAAAGAGTTTCTATGTGAACAAACACTTCATAGGTTTACAACATACATTTTTAAATAATAATAAATGGAATAAAAATATATACGAAATGTAAAAATATTATAGGCAACGATTGTGGTGTGCGATTGTGATGCGATTTAGAAGACTACATTATGATACGATTTAGGAAACTACATTATGATGCGATTTAGGAAACTAGAGACATTTTGTAAACTTTTATTTATTTGACCCATAAATAAAAATGTAAACTTTAATTCTATTAATTTAATTTCAATAATATTCTAATTACGACGTACAAACGATCAAGATTATTTAACTTATATTCTCTGTAATTTGATCTGTTATGAAATATGAAAAATAGCAACTATAACGATTAACTATCACGACTTTTTTTAATTATGTAAGTAAGAACACTCCTATTGTATTTTATCACGAGTGTAAGCAGCGTTGCAATACCATATTCTTAAATAAAATTATAAAAAAGTATGTAAGTACAATAATTGAATTTTTAAACATGGTTGCGATTTCGGCAATTATCCTATATTGTCAAAGATTGCGTAATCTAACGAAATTCAAATTAATCTCATGTCATTAAATTATGAATTGAAAGGATTTATTTTAAAACTAGTGTTTTTCATAAGTCGAATTTTTCGAAATTGTATTACTGATAAGATTGCAAACGAGTTTGCTCTCGCTGTGCAATCAAACTAACGCAATAAAATATGAAGTGTAGTATATGTGTTGCGTATATACTGATAAATATATAATTATATATTTTTGAAAGAATTTTAAACTTGTAATTTGTTTAAAGACTTTTCATTTGTATTATTAAATAATATCATTTTTTCATTATTGTATGTAAAACAATTATGAGCCTATATGTGTGATTATATACTAGGATACAACGTATTTGATTCAAACATTTTATTTTATCTAGGACTATAGATTTTCAGAATAAGTACACAATAACTCTTGTTTATTGCGTATGATAAATCGGTATTGTATACTTCTTTAGATAATTTCGAATTTTTATTTATTTTTCATACATTTATATCAAAGTCTACTAGATTTATTTAATTAAGATATAAAAAAATGATCATTAGGATTCTTTGTTTAAATTAGTGTATACAATTATTCTTAAATGTTTAGAATTTCAAGAGAGAAAAAGCGTTTCTAGTTCCACTATATATCTTTATATAAACGTAATAAATATACAATGTTTTTAAATAGTGCAATAAACTATCCAAGGAACAAAATATATTGACATTTTCATTTCTTATTATATAAAAATAAAAACAGAATTTACAATATCAAGTTAAATATACATTTGTATCAATAAGTTAACTAAAGTTTTATCGTTGTAATAAAATTTTATATGTTAATTCATTTACATAATTATTTCTATCCTTGACATCTACTTTTAAATATATCTAAAAATTTTAGTAACAAATGACGATTTCTACTTTGCATAAAAATCCGCAACAGCATGCGTTACTCCTTTTTTTATCTCTTCATCTTGTTTTATTTTCTGCTCTTTTTTTCATAATTGATCTCTTCTGCATCATCGCACTTTTCTTAATCTTGTATCTTTACAGCTTATATAAATTAAATTTTAGCAATACTCTGATCAAAATTTCTTTGTTTTTGCGGTCGAAAGTGAAAATCTTAACTGCACGAATTTAATCACTGCAATGCTTACCAGACACTGGCAATGGATAAAATGATAAAAGATTCTTGACACATTAATTATTCATTAAACGCTCATAATTAATTTAATTAATTAATTAAATAGTAGTATGTAATTTTTAATTCCTGATATTTTATTAATTTTATTTATTTCATTTTTCCTATTTTGAAAGATATTTATTTTAATTCTTTTATTTTTTACTAATTTTGTTTTTTTAATGACAAAAAAATTCCCTTAATTAGTGTTTTCTCCACAAATTGTGTTCTCTCGGATTATGCGATTTTTAAAACTATTTTTAATTAAGCTGCAGAGAGAAGTTGATGATCGACAGGATTACATATAATCCTTGTATCTTTAATTTACTTCACCAGAAATCCATTAAAGATGAAATTGTAATTAAATCAGTCTATCCACATTTGTAGCTATAAAGTCATTTGATTTCTATTTCCGGTTTGGGGGAGCATTGCGATTACAACATAGCGTCGAACAAATCGCAAATAAATTGTCTAACCACATTATCTTTTCGTTGCAGGTCTGTTGGCACAGATGCTGATGTCACAGGACAATAACGAGTGGACTCAACGTCGAGCCAGTGGATCATCGTACAAGATGTCCAGAGTTTCCATTCGAAAGAAGAGTGTAGGCGATGCTAAATATGAATGCAGCAGGTGCGGGAAAACATACAAAGCCACGACATCCTTGAGCCGACACAAACGACTTGAATGCGGTGTCGTACCTTGCGAGGTATGTCCTATCTGCGGCCGCAGATTCAAACACAGGTTCGTCCTAAACGCTCACATCGTTGGTTGCGAAAGAAGAATGAATCAAACGATACAGAAGAAGGATTTCGATTAGAGGCCACGATTAATCAACGATAAAGAAGAACAAAAGCGATTATTATAAGTGAAGATCATGATCACTTGTATAGAGCAACTAATGGAACCGATTGAAATGTTTTTAATCGACGCGATATTTAAAATATTTGAAATTACAATGCAAGCAATTTCGCATAAAATAGAATACTTATTTGTGTACTAATAACATAAGATGAACATATAGAAGATAACTGGCTGACAAATATTATTTCAATTTAGAAGAATAGAATAATAATTTTAAGGAAATAAAATAATAATTTTAAAAGATATAACTTTAGATTCCAAAAGTCAAATCGAAATTACTGGACATACAAAAAGAGATGCTTTTCAAATTTTCATACACGCTTCAGTATATTTAATTCTACGTACGAAAATATTTTTTTTTTATTCCAATAAAAAGTCTTTATCACTTTTCCATTAATGGCTATTATAATTAAGAATGAATATATGAATTTACGAGTGAATTCATGAGATGAATGAATAATCCTTTTGCGAGACACATTTGTTATGTCTACGTAGACATTTCGATGTATATTTATGACGAACTCATAATGTATTTATCATAACCATAATGTATTTAATCTTTTATTACTTGTGCAGTTTAGTCATAAAAATAGTATATATGATATGTATATGTAATATAGTCAACTGTTAATCCAAGCCAAATGAATATTGTTATTTTGACACAGACGATATCATCGTCTATGCTTTTTACTTCGCGAATGAATGAATACTGCAAATATATACTTCCTATTTTTTATTATACAATAAAATTCTATAATTACTTAGTGCATTAATGCGTAACCTGTATCATATACATTGAGAATATAAAATTGTTAAAATATATACTCATTCATGTTTTAATTCATGATCTTTTTCGTGATTCACGAGTATAACATTTTTATATATTTAACATACAAATTTTAATCGAAAAGCTATTAATAAAATAATAATAATGCATCTTTTAAATTGCACAATCATTGTGTATCTGTTTTGCGTTGAATTCACATTTAATCTAATTTATTTTTGTAAATTTTATTTTGATAATAGACAACACTATTTACAATTCAGAAGTTTTATTTTATATCTTTTTTGTATTATAATCTATAAATATAAGGATAAGATAATTATTTGTTTGTTTTAATTAATTGAACGATAATAAATAGGTTTTAAAATATGAAATTTATTTAATCTTTATTTCTGAAGTAGGATTAATTAGTTAATAATTATATATTTATCTTATCATTTTCAACATATAATATTTGTTCTTTGTTGAAAATATATAGATAATATAATATATTTATTATCATTTAAAATTGGAAATTAATGTTTCATGCAAATATTCTTTACACAATTTTTAATATTTTGAATATAATTTTATAATTATATTCTCATTTATCGTAGCAATATATTTAATAATTTACAGATTTAACTAATTTAGATATTTTTTAATTTCACATACATCGGTTTAATGATTTTGTATATAATTATTTCTTTGCTATGTTTTAATACTCCATTAAATTTATTTATAGCTTTATATATTCATTTATTGTATAAAAATATTTGTTGAATAAAAAAATTTGTTTATTCAAATTTTAAACCTACATCTTGTCTTTTTTTTCATTTAAAAGCATTATGTTGAGGGTCAACAACCTCAAATTTATTTATCGATTTACAGCTTTGCCACTCGCCATCAATTTTATGTCGGCAAAACTCAAAGTATGAAGCATGTTTGAATACATTTAAAATTATTACGTGTATTTTTTATATTAGAATACATTAATAAGCAATTTATCAGGGTTGGTAAAATCATGTTTTAAATATATTTTAAAACGTGCTTAATTGATGATTTAACATGTGTTATATTGTACATTTTTTTTTTGTAATATTATTTAGAGCACGTACACTAAAAAAAAATATCTTAATTTCAAAGAAATATTTCTTTGTTCGTATTTTAAAAAATTATTTCTTTGGATCAATGAAAATTTCTTTGAAAATAAGATATTGTACAATATCTTATTTTCTAAATAATTTTTTTTAATACGAGCAAAGAAATATTTCTTTGAAATTAAAATTTTTTTTCAGTGTAGCATTAAAAATATATTTGAAAAAAACAATGTTTTATAAAAAAAAACATTATTATCTCTTATCGACTATAATTTATTATGTTTTTTTGTTTGCTACCGACTCTATCGCAAATAAAAAAACAAAACGAAATATTATATTTTTCCTAAAGTTTACGATCTTAATAAAACAATTTGTATATATCAATTATGTGTATTATTTCCAACTATCTGTATAATTATGTAAATATATAACTTAGACTTTTATGCAATGGTGTCTTCTTCTCTTTTTCATTTGATTTAATATATATCAATTGACAACAAGATGTAATCCATGTGAATCTCCCTAAAAATGACAATTATTAGTAAAACTTTAATACAAAATTCAAGAGTTGTCAGGTATATGATTTAAAAAATGATTTCTCTAATAAAAAAAAGAGAAAAAATAAATCATTACATGATTAAATCTACGCTAAAAATTAATATATTCATTGCAGTGTGGATTGAATATTGATCGATTCATCTTTTGAACCTCTTATCAATTGAATTCAATATTTACTCTAATCTCTATTAAATTGTTATTAACGTCAATTTCACGAAAATAACAAAATCTTTTTCGTATTCCAGACGGTGTCCTGATGAACAAATTTGAACTGAATGCTAACCACCTGAATACATCCCGACATTTCGTAAATTGTGGCCAAATAGAGCCGCTACCAAAGCAATATTTTTGCGGTGAATGCGGCAAAGTATATAAATGGATGGACAATCTGCGCCGACATCAAAGACTGGAGTGCGGCAAGCTACCTAAGTGGCATTGTGAAATTTGCCTGAAAATGTTTTATCGTCGATATGAATTAACCAAGCATATGAAATTGAAACATCACAAAATGTAAACAATTCACCTACAATACAAAGAAGATTCTTTCGTTAAATAAAGTATATGTTAAGTTAGGTTCTTCATATATTGCCCATGATTATTTAGAATTATAATTATAATTGTGATTATTATAGATAATTGTAATTATATTTACATTATAATTTTCATATTATATACGTTATATAATTTATATATAATTATATTATTTACGAGATCTATCTGACTTTTATGTATATCTTTGTCCCTGAGTATCCACTCATTCACTAACTCTCTCTCTCTCTCTCTCTCTCTCTCTCTCTCTCTCTCTCTCTCTCTCTCTCCCCCCCCTTCCCTCTTTCTCTTTCCGGTATGTAAGGGGACCTCGAGGAATACCTCCTAATAAAAGAACTATGCGATGTGATAACCGATAAATTCTGATTAATGAAACTTTGTATACGTATAGGTTATATAAAAAGATGAATTTAAAAAAATATCCGTTGCGGTGGAAAAACGGTTTAAAAATATGAAATCATCCCTTATGTAGTAAAGTGATTTTCAGAATTTTTTTCGTTATATCTCGAAAATTATTCTAAAAAATGTTTTATACAAAAGTTTTACAACAAAATTACCTTTATTCATTTACATCAATAATATTTTTAATAAACATTTTTTTAATTAAAAAAAATTTTTTTTATTTTTCAAAAATATTGATGAATAAAGTAATTTTATTGTAAAAGTTTTGTATAAAACATTTTTTGATACAATATCTCGAATAATTTTTAAGATACAGTGAAAAAAAATTAAAACTCGCGTTATATATACTTGCATATAAGGGGTAATTTCACCTCTTTAAACTGTTTTTACACCGCAATTGATATTTTCTAAATTCATCTTTTTACGTAACCTATATGTATATAAAATTTCATGAAAATCAGAATTTAACACTTCGTGTGATTCCCTTGTAAGCATCAACAGCTGAGTTATTGGCACAAAAAATGATTTTCAGGACTGCTTTCGAAAGTGAATGGACCGCTGGAAGAAGGTCATTACTTCGAAAGGAGATTACTTTGAAGACTGTCATATTACTTCAGAGTAGCTTTTTCTCATGATATAGGCAGGGATACTTTTGGGGCAGATTTCGTATAATTATATAATATGTACTACAATATATGTTATTTATATTATAATATATATTGTATATAATATGTAATTATATATTATTTA